AGAGAGAGAGAAAGAGACAGAATGGATAACAGTTTTAATTCTTGAATGTAAAAAAAGCAAAACAAAACCTTTCAGTTCGCAGTTGAGAGATACAAAAGTGACAAAATGTTTTAATAAAATTTTGTTGTTATTCCAAAAAATGGACTCTACTCAAATTTTCCTCTAAATTTTTGTTTATTATTTAACAATAACAAAAGATGAAAGAACATCGAATAGACGAATGCCAAAAAAAAAAAAAAAAATTTATTAAAAAATATTGAAATATAAATGCAAAATATTTACAATAAAGTGGGGATGATGTTTTAATTATTAATAACCACTAACTACGTCCTTTTGTCAATAAAAAAAGGCAAAATCTCGGCCAAAGAAAAAAAAACCTGAAATTTATTTTAAAACAAAAACGTAGAAAGGGATTAGTAATAAAAAAATTGTACTAAACTTTATTCATTAGTAAAATACACAATTTTTTTTTTAGTAATAAAAGTATTTTAAAAAACTAAAATAAAAACTTAATAAAAAAAATGGAAGAAATATATTCATAAGAAATGAAATTATTTTTTTTTTTAATTAAGAGTAAATAACCATTTCTTGTCAATCCAAAGATTAAAAAAAATGGACCTAGAATAATACTACTTAAAAAAAAAAAAAAAAAAATTGAAAAAAAATTCAGCTCATTGTATAAAAAGAAGAACAGGGAAAGGCATATTCACAAAAAAACGAAATTTCTTATTCATTTATTTGTTGACAATAACAAACAATTTTTTTTTTCCCTTAAAAAAAAAAGTAATGCGAACCTAGAAAAAATGCTTAATATAAAATAATATAAGCAATGGCAATGAAATTTTATTTATGTTTCTCATACAAAACATGGAAGATCCTGTGTCGTCCAATGCTGCACTAGCAGAAGAAAAGGTCAAACAATGGTCAATGGAAGTAAAACGATAGCAAATTTTTAGTTGTAAATTTTAGTAGTAGACCTCTAAAATGAAAATAGAACGAAGAGAAAAGTATCTTATGGACGAGTAGAAAAAAGGCGGATGGATGAATATGTGCCTCGTCGAACGGTAAGAAAACATTCGTGACATATAGGGGAAATTATTCGGCCATAGTCGGTTGTGCGTTAGTAGGAAGGACTAAACCGAATATTTTGTGGAGACGTTACTACTGATATAACAAAAGAAATATACTGTGACTTGTTATAGCGGCAAATATAAACAAAAAACATTATTTCACAGTAATATGTTTGTAATGTTCATCATAGGTTTTAATTGTGCTTCTAGTTTTTGCACTTAGCGTAAAGGTTATTAAATTTCGTGTGAAAAAATGTTTAAAATTTATTTTTCCATTAAATATAACATAAGTCGAGTACAATATTTAAGCCTTATATGACGGTTGGCATTAACATTGTTTATGAGTAACATGTACTATTTGGGGTGAAAATAACATGGTTTCAAGGATGCGTAGGCTCTTAAGTTTTTAGGCTTTTGATTTTAATGAAAATTTATGCCGTCAAGCAAAAGAGGAAACCACCAAAGTCATTAAGCACACAAGTACACAGGGCCATAGGGTACCGTCGAATACTCTCTGCTGTATTCTTT